GAATTTTATTAATTTCTATTGGAAGATAACTTTTTATTTATTAAAAATACGACAGTATACAGGTAGCAAAATCACATCTTTTAGGCGATGTCGCATAAACTCCAATGAGTTTTACTGTACATCGTCATTATAGGTACTTTCTGTACATAATTATACTAAAATTAAAGTTATTTTAACAATTACAATAAGGTACCTAATTTACAAACACAATAGCGGAACACAGAAAATTTTATCTGCACGCAGGTGAATATTGCTCAAGTATTGTAAAGTATATTAGTTCTCTCATACAATGGATGTTGAAAAATAGCAATTTAAAAAAAATTGCAAATCATTTATACATAAATAAAACAACTTTTAAACGGTTTGTTCTTTTTTAAGTGATTTTGGTATGTCATTGATAAGATATGGAATACAATAGGTATAATATATTTAGTGAATCAATTACAAAAAAAAATCACTCATTTAATACACAGTAATTTACTGGGTTAGGAACAGTTAGAGTATGTAGCGGCGATAACGGCAAACGGCAGAATTGACAATACATTAGGGTAGTCAGTAACTGTAATAACACCTACTGGAGAGGATAGTATCTATGTTTTTAAAGAATTTTTACTTTCATGACGTTTATACCCTTAACCCTTTAGCTTTCCATCACAAGCTTCACCCGCGTAGTTTACACGATGAGTTTACAGTACAGTTATCCATTGGGAACCGTCTAGTGGGATAAGAAGTAAATTTTATCTAAATCCGTTCAGTATTTTTTAGCTTGAAAGACTCACAAATTTTCGTATTTTATAACATTGTCAGAATAATTATTTAACACATGATTAATCTGATTGAGTAAGTCTTTACAATTTCCAACATCAACATACTTCCACCATTTAAACACTTTCTCGTATTTTTGTTCAATCACATTTCTATTCCCAAGAAGTAATATTAAATATCTCAATCTCTCTATTAATTAAACTGGTCGCTCCAACGTGTCTTGAAATTCACTGAAAAACCTGTTTTAAAACAATTCTGAGGCAGCTAACCGCGCTCTGGGAGCACAAGTAATTTCTGTAGTAATCGTGTTCTCACTCTGCGCGTCTCGTTTTTATTTGCTCAAAATGATCAAAGGAAGGGGAAAATGAGTTTACTTTCCTAGTTTTAAAAGTGTTTGGATTGCATATTTACAAAATACAGTTTGTTATCTGAATTTCCAGTCATGTCTGATACAGTCGTATGGGAGTCACGTCATGTGGAAAACTTAACGTCGCTATTTTTAAAATTCGACAAAAATCGTCTTAGTCTCTCTGAATTTTCGACATTATTTTATTGTTGTTATAAGCTTTTGTATTTTTGCTGAAATCAATAATGTAAAAACTTAGTTACTCTCATTATGCATATAACTTTCAAGGTATGGGAAACTCATTGGGTATGATAAGACTAATTTATCTTTCAAATTAAAATCTTATAACGATAAAAATGAATTGGGTATTTTATTTTAAAAATTCTAAAATAATAATATTGTTAGGGCGGAAAAATTACGACATAATTGAGACGTAACAGATTCATTCATTAGTTTGGGCTGTAAAGAGATGCCGCTGGTAATCTTCTTGCTGGTAAAAAACTTTCATTTTCTTAAATTGATTATTATTAAAAATACCCGGTTAATTTTAAAAATATAGTAAATGTAATCCATAATGTTTTGGTAAATGATATAAAAGTCATAATAAAACGAGAAACAAATAGTTTTTAAAATTATCTGGCACAAAACATAGAAAATACGCAGCTCGTTTAATGCGAGTGAAATCTCCAGAACAAATAATATCAGATTAATCTCCCAGAGATCTCTGTGATCTGATCACACTGTTTCTCGATGAAAGAAATAAGAAATTTAAATCATTATCTAAACTTACCTAAAATCTTACTCTGAACATAAAATCTAAAAGTTCCTAAAACTTAATACAGTGCCATCTATCGATTTAATAAAGAACTACAGATAAATGATTTAATTTATATTGACGTTAAACAATCACTACAGTATTTTCGGGTGAGCAATACGCCAATAGAGTTAACGCAAACATTGAAAGTTCGGAGACAATACTATTTGGTGGCATGAATAAAATATGACCCGCGCGATTTCCTCAGATGACAAGAGCGGTATGCGGCAGCCATCCGTTTCGTTTTACATGACAAGGACAATACCCTCATGACGGAATCTTCTCTGGGAAACATCCGGACGGATTACGTGTGAAATATGAACATTACAATGTAGCCACTGCATTTTAAGATAAAAATATATAATTCAATATTTACAAACTTTTGAAAATGAACTTTTCTATATTATGTTGGATCTGGGTGTTGTGGTACCTTGGTTGTCTCAGATTTCCATATTACAAATGCTTTAGTTACACAACTTGGGATCAGAGCAATGTGAAGTTATCTAATATTCATTTATTTATATTTCTTTCACATTAAAAGGAAAAAAATATATCCTATTTTGATCAATTTTGCATTGACAATGCTATATTATATTAATACATATCTTTAAAGAAAAATGCTTAAAAAATTTACCAGTCCCAAGGAACCCCAGTAATTCGAAGTCAAAACCTTTCGCAATCGGGTGACTATTCTCATTTTTAAGCTATCCGAAACTCAACAAGACAGACGAATTTTTCAAGCATATCACCATTTTCGCTTTAGTAATGTATTTTCTTCAATACACCCACACAGCCGAAAAAAAAAATTTTTATTACCTATTATAAGATTTTGTGCTATTTTGTATAAATTCTATTTTTATTTATATACGAGTATAATTGAATATTTTCGACCGAGACTGAAATACGATAAATTATAAACATTATAGCAATTAAAAGATTTCAATACTTTTCAAATATTATTAAGGTGAAAAATTGCTTAATCTCTGCATCACTATACGTATTGAGATTCTAATTCTTTTTCCATATTTAGAGTTAACAGAAATCATTATCGTTTATTATATTGTTATTATAATGAAAAATTTAAGTTCTTCTGCTCTTCCATTATAAAGAAAATCTCTCATATAAGAAGATGCAAACAACAATAATTCGTTGAAAAATAATTCTACGTATATCAGTCGAGACAATAAACTGTGTCATATATCATACACTTCTTATGTTCGCAATAAAAAAAATAACAGTAAGTACACAAAATAAAAAGGAGATCACGTGACACAATGCCGGATTAAATCGCATACTTAGAGCGCGGTGGCAAGATCCATTTTCGATCAGTTATTGTTACATATTTGTCCACGTCCGATTGTACCGGAATGTATTCGTGTACTTTTGACGTATCGCCATAAAATATTTATGGCGAAAAGATACCCGAATACTGCGTAAACCGAAAACGCGAAACATTTTAGTGTCCCCTCATTGCGGTACGCAAATAACATCTATTTTACGATTCGTATACCACGGGAGGTGAATTCTTAATAATGTCAAAAAGAATAGAATGGTAAACATCGACTAACATTATATTTTTTCATTTATCATTAATTTATCTGTACATGATAGTTATTTTTCTTTTTTGTATTTATAGTGCGACCACGATATTTTGGATTAAAACTGAAAATAAAGTTCTTTGCTCTTTGAGTTGGTATTAATTACCTCAGTGTTAAGACCCGATTTTCTACTATTTATATATGGAATTTAAAAAATTGTTTATATTTTTTATTTTTTGATGTTTATAATTTTTGACATTACGTGATTTCTTCACCCGACTGCAAAGGAAAGGTTAGGTTTTCATGCGTATCTTGTATGTATGTATGTTATATTTTTTTTACCTCATATCTTCAGAACCGCAAAGCGGATATAGATAATTGAGGTATCGTTAGATTTGTCTTAGAAACCCAGGTGTTCTTAGAAAGGTAACGTAAAAAATAACAATATTTTGTTTCAAATACTACAATAATAGGTATCAATGTAAAGGGCTCAATACAAGGATTCCAAAAAGGTATATTATTAATCATAATATTACCAAAATTACCGTAAAATACAGATAAAAATAAAAATTATAAATTTTAAAATGAAGACTTTGTTCTTTTTATTAAGAAAAATAACCAACCTGGTAATTTATCTAAATAAAAATACATAAATAAGATCATACATAACATGCAGACGGAAGCATGAAATTGCGTAATAAGTCAAATCATTCTCTCTTTGTACATGCCTGTTATATATATTGCGATTATAACTGTATCTATATATAATATTCGTGTTTTGTTTCATGTTTTTGATTGTGACTTATTTATTCGTTATTTCCTTGTCTTATCATCTCTTTTTTATACGAGCATTAATATTTATAAACTGTCTACATATAACTTTAACACCAGACTCAACACAGGGTGTTCAGTTCACTTACAGCAAATGCTCTTGGACAATGGAGCTCGTCACACGGTCCAGTGAACACAATCATTCTGTAGTTACAGACTTCATATAGGATGAAGCTTTGGAGCATATCAACAGACACACATTGCATTAAATAAAATACAGCACACAAAGCGTTGAATTTCATTTGATTGATTTTTATAAAACTAGGCTCCTTGAGAGTACCTCTTAATAGATTATTTGTTAATAAGCTCAGACATCTGATAGCTGTTCAAAATTATAACATTGACAACAACAAGAATTGTCGATCTCTGTCAAGGATCACTGAGGTCTCGAGTCCGATTCCTGGTCGGATAAATGTAGAAAATGGACTTATATGTGTATATTGTTTCCGGTTTGGCTGTTTTAGTATCTTTAATGTTTATTATTTCTAAGATGAAAATTCCAAAAACCACTTTATTTGCGATCTAAGCAATGTATGTAATGTTTGTTTTGTGTTTATATTTACGAGTAATTGACCCGAACGAAAAGCTCATTATATTGGTTGGTTCGGCAACTAGGCCTTGGGTTCGCAGATGCCGCTTAAAATCAAGGGTGTGCCCAGGATTTTTTAAAACAAGTAGTTGTCCTGACGTCAATGACGGCACTAATAATAATGGTGATTGTAAACCCATACTTTTCCAGCCTGTTCTCCTTATGTGATTCTGCCCTTAGGTAAAGTAGACACAATAGTTCAGAAACTTTAACTAAGTGAATTACACAATCGTCATTCTTATTAATATTCGAATATAATGGTAAAAAACAAAATTGCTTTTCCCCGTCTGTACGCTAAGTTCTTTTTTACACAGAGTCATTCAAGGGGAAAGTAGATTTATATGTATAATACAAAACCAATAGGACCACTCGAAGTCACTGAGTTAAAACTAGTTTGAAATAAAATAGAAACTGATTCTAATAAAAAATATGAAAATTGGTAAATATCAAGAAATTTCCCATTTAATTAAATACTTCGTGTAGCTTATTAAATACACCTGCCGTTTAATAATCAGTGTTCAAGAGATGTTTCTTGAATTTTATTTTTACTTTTAAGTTGATTTATTTTATTTAACATATTTTTTTATTTGCTACTTTTTAAAACCAATTTTGAAATAAAATCAGTGAGTGTTATGAAATAGACAAAATGGCATAGCACCTCTTACGATCTAATGACGTTAAATATATATATGGAATGGAAATATTGAACATTTTGAACTGAAAAAACTACTTAAAATAAATATATTTTCATTGATCTTCTCATTTTCTATCATCAAATTTGAAAAACATAAACGTTGGTAAATAGGTATTTATATAGGATTGAAAATTAGATAATTGATGACTTTACATTGAATAAATCAGCAAAACAAACTGTAGACCTGGTAAAAATACAATAAATTTTTATAGTTCTTATTTACAGCATCATAAAGTTCAATATCACCGCTAATAGAATCAACAAATGATTAATACGTTTCACATGTTAATGTTATGCTACAGTTCAAAGATTATCTGTAACTTATTCAAGGAAACTTGTATGACAAAATCTATTCGGTACAATGTTTGTGTTCGGACGGCACGTATTTTCGTTTACTATTTTGATCGGGCTGTGTAGTCAAACCTTTTCTACACAACTACTACTGCACAAAAATGGCAAACAATCTTTAAAAGTTAAGTTTGATGATACAATCGAGAAACCCGAAGATTTGAATTCAAATGACGATAGCAACGTTAAAAAGACACCAGAAAATGATAACGCATTGGAGTTATGGAAATTACGAGGTCTCAAATATTCAACAGATGGCGAACAAGCAATAAGTGCAAAACACCGTGTGATAAGAGATGTGTATACGACACCGTCACATATATATCCGAATCTACCGAACCCGTATTATAATAATTATCCATCAAATCCTAGTTCTCCTTATAACAATGGTGCAGTGAATAAGCAACAGTGGCAACATTTACCTAACAATACACACTCGAGTACTCCCTACAATGGATACAATCCAGTTCATCCCAACACAAACTACCCTTCGTATCCAGGTAATACACAAACATACCCGTCAAATCCACCATCAAATTATCCATACCAACAAACCAATTATTATGGGCAAAATAATAACACCAGACCTCAATATCCATCACAAACCTCACGTCCTTACGGAAATCAGCAATATAGTACACCTAATTACCACACCACTCCAAGAACCACTCAATACCCTTCACATAATTATGTATCGCCATATCCTTCTCCTGATCAATATCCAAAATACAATAATGGCACTCCGAGGCCTAGTTATCCTTCCTATACACCTCATAATCAACCCACTCACTACCCATCCTCAAACCACACGTATTTTTCTTATCAACCAACTTACAACTCATCAAGGCCAGCACCCCATAATTACAATCAATATCCACAAAATCAACCTTATGGCCAACAAAATAGTTTTAATCCTAACTATCCCAATAACAATCCGATTCCTAATCAAGGTACACCAAGTTATCATAATTATTCAAATAATCCAACCTACAATCCGAACCAAGGCTCTACTAACTACCAACCATATGGACAACAGAATTATCCAGGGCATAACCCTCAAGCAAATCAAGGTCAATCTAATTACCCTGGTTACAACTCAAATTATTATAATCCAACGCCGTCGGACCCAAATCATTCTCCTGGTTATTCGCCCAACACATATAACTCAAACATTCCGAATCGTCCCCCAAGTTCTTCGGACAATCATTTCCATTATCCGAATAATAATAACATGGGACCAAGTTATGATCCACGCAAGAACCCTCCTCAGAATTTTTCATACTAAGGCATTTGATAATTTTATGTACTCGTAAGTTTATCTAATAGGGCAAGGTTAAATAGTATTGTATAATGAATGATAAATATAATGTTTTCCAATTCAATGGACTGTTATTTTACTAATATAATATCTTTCAAGCATAACTTGAAGTATAAAAATAATATACTTGTCTATAATTAGAAATAAATAAATTGATAATGAAATCTTCAATCCCTCCAATCCGCATTGGGCCAGCGCGGAGGGTCATGGCCCATCCTCCTTAACCATCCATAAGGAAGGCCTGAGCCCCTGCAGTGGGGACGTAAAAGGGCTGGTGATGGTGATGAGAATGAAATCGTAAATGTATGAAAAATAGCAGCAAAAAGTGTTGTTACCTTGGAATAATCTTAAATTACATTGAAGCTACATTTGATGCAGACATGAATCCTTAAACCTATATTTTTGCTATTGCTATATAATAATAACAACAACAATACTGATAACATAATTCCTTAAATCGTCGCTCTTAAGAATTATAAAAGCAAAGTTCTGTGTAAGATGTTTTCTTCATTTTGTTATAAGAGGTAGTTACTACAGGTTTATCTAGAAACTTTCACAATAGTCGACAGTCAATTGCTTGCTCCCCAACGATAAGCGACAATAAAAGCGATTTCGAAAACTATCAATTCATTATTTTTTTTCACATGGAGTACACACGTTTCCAGTACGTACCAAATTGCTTTATTGTCAAAAAGTCAGACTCTGTGAAAATAACAGTTGGCGGCTAGCGCCGAAGTTGGGTCTATGTGACACACGGATGTGGTGATTGCTAAGGATTGTTTTCTGCTTTGCAATTTTTAACCGACTTCAAAATCAAAAAGGCGTGTATATTTTTTGTTAATAGAAATATATGTGTTAAGTTATGTTGTGTAGTACTAGAACGTGGTGACGTTTAGCTTGCCTAAACTAGTAAGGGAGACTATAGAAAATTATCTTATTCCGAGTTTAGTGTGAGCTACCAATAGCTCAGGGACTAATGTGCAATCTATGTAAGTTTGGCGGTTGTACTTATGTGAAGTCCCGTCGAAACTTAGTAAGAGCGATGCTGATACCGCGACGTCATCCCGTAATAATGCAAGGTAACTTTAAGCATGCCGTTATTAATTGTGACGATTTTAGCGCGATGAAATAGATGTCGCCACAAAGTGTTACAATACAATTTGTGGTTACCCTCCAAAATATGAAGTTTATTGTCTCTAAACTTAATAATTTTAAGTTCACGTGTAACAAATCTGTTGGTTTAGTTATTCTCACACGAAATAATATTTCTCATTAATTTTTAAAAGACAAATTTAGAAAACTGTTTAGTGAATTTTTAAGTTCAGAATTTTTAGTTTTTGTTTATTTATATGTTAACATATAAATTAACGAGATTCTAAATTAATAGTTGACTTGTTTTCTAAACTTGTGACTTGATTAAAGTAATCATCTTATAAAAAAGAGTTGAAAATAGTGAAGTGAGTGTCATTGCTAATCAGCCCTTGACTACGATAATATTATTTAAACTCAAAAGAAATTTTGATCGAAGATCTCCAGAACTGTGTGTCGATAACTTTATACAGACGCCACATAAAGTTGGGTGCTATCGCTGCGATCAGACTGTGGTGTTCGCTTTTAGATTTACTTTCTGAATGTACCCCAAAACTGTTAGAATCAATTTGTGGCAAAACTAATGTTGTGACTTACAACCAGTTGGAACAACTATCGAATATTCGCAGGAAGTATTATTCTTCTACATATATAGATATGTATATCTATCAAGAAATGGAGCCACTTTCAGCCTTTGTTCTGCGATTGCGGAGATTAACGAACTGTTGTAAACGCAAGTCTTCGGATGGGTCATTATATATATTTCCTCAAGTTCAAGATAAAACCTGGAATAGAACCCGGTGCCCCAAATTACCATGTCGCTTATGACTCGATTAATGTGGCTACTTGAGGTAATTACTCGTATGGTAATTTACACAATTTTTTTTTTCAATGCAACTATGTTTGATAATTTATTATTTCATATTTATGTGTGATATCATATTGTGTTTTCGCTTGCCGATTAATGTCAAAAACAATCTTAAAAATGTGTTAGTTTTAAAAAAAATTCTTCTTGAGTAACATCAATATGGATCTTCAAACTTAGATTATAGAAATACTTAAATTAGTATCAATAACTTCTTTCGCAAAAAGGTGCTTAGCAACTATATCTCAAATCAAGCACGCTAACCACGGCCCTATCGAGCTCTATAATTAAGAGTTACCTTTATATGTATAAAAGAAGACCACGCTAGCGATGCCGCTGGCAGAAACGACATGAATTCCAAGAAAAAAATTTTATACCACCATTATACTACCCTGTGGCACACAGTATAAAATAATGACGTTCCACTCACATCAGATTATTTTTTCTTTAAGGCGAGCGCTGAATGAGATCTATTTAAACCTTGAATCTATTTCTTCAATGAACTATAATTATTTAACTTTATTAGTCAATAACACTTCTTTTTTTGTCGTTGAGAAAAATGGATGAGAAAAATTAGACAACAATTATTGTAGTTAGCGGTACCGAACTAATCTTAAGGAAAGACACTAGTCTCCAATTATTCGAATAAATTCAAATTTTAAATAATCAGCAACTTTCAACGTGATAGCGGGTCACATGAATATTATAACGGAATATCTGCATACACTGTTAGCTATAAAAGTTTGTTAAAACAGTACTCATTACCAACTACTTGTGAGGGTTAGTTGCAGTAGTGGGTGCTTATTAGCTCCTCAGTATACGGACCTGCGACGGCGGTTCTTGCAACAAACAACACTCGAGAGGGCAGTGCGCATGATGAGACTAATAGAGTATGGTTCAAGTCATAAGAAATTCTACATACTAACCAATCATTTTAGTATACTAACTAGTCAGAGTATATCGAATTGGACTGTATATTAAAATTATCTATTACAGAAAAAAAAACCATCTGTATATTTCTGTAAGTAAATGAGAATGACAGCAAAATGCGTTTTATTTAATTAAAACAGCAATTATTGTATATTTAAACTAGCTTTTGCCCGCGGTTTCGCCAGCGTGTTCTAGTCCAAAAATGAGAAAATTCCATAAAAACTTTCTATCCCAAATATATCCCCTTAGGGGTCGAATTTCGTAAAATTAGTGAGCACCTACGTCCTAAAAAGAATCCTCATGCGAAATTTGGAACTCCTAGCACTTCTAGTAACGAAGTTTCACACAAACTTTCATCCTATATGTTAACTCATTCGCGGTGGAATTTTCAAGAATCCTCTCCGAGTGCTCCTCTACACTCCCTAAAAAATCTTCATTTCAAATTTCAAGTTTCTACGCTCGGTAGTTTCGGCTGTACATTGTTTGTCAGTCACTCAGTAACGCAAAAATTTTATATATAGATCCTAAGTATGAGAAACATTATTAGAATCTGAAACAATGAAGATACCATGATAAACATTATAGAAAAGAATGCTTTCCCGGCGATGGTGATTTAAGATGGTGAAATTTTGAAATCAGCCGGTAGCGTCTGAGCCACTCAGTCATGAAGGTGGTCCGGTCCACCTTTTTTTTTTATTACTAGGAAATGCCATAACTGCTCCCCAGCGCGGGGTAGACGGGTCATAAAGAGGGCTAGTCAAAAAGCAGGGGCATATCCTTCGAACCTGAATAAGATAAATACTCTTAATCAAAAATGCTTTAAAATCCACTTTGTCCCTGGCACTCTGCCATAGGACTCGTATCAATGATCTTTCACGATCCGGGCGACTGCTCTAAGCACTGAGCTACCCAGAACCGTATTTAAACAAGAGCGTATTTTCATCAATGTTCATGCACTCCACCCAAACAGCCTTTTATAAATGGTAAATTTATGGAAATATATTCACACTATTTCGCTACCTCTTGTGACACAGGACACAAGCTCACACTTGCTACAGCAAACACAGCAGTTAGCACTTTCCGTTCGCCACTCGCCGCTTCCTCCACTTGCCATACCCTTGCATATTTAAATTCTTTAACTTCACAAATTGGGGTTAACAAGAAGTGTAGACACGACGAGTGCCAAGAATTGAATTTTGCATGCCTTCGTTAGCTTTTTCAGGATGCACACAATAAGATTATAGAAATGTTGCGCAAACAAATTGCATAAATTTTGCTGACTATTACACTTGAATTAAATTTTATGATAACTTCTGTCCGGATTAAATAAAAGTAGTTGATTATGAGATAAATACTGTTTTTACTAAAGTGTTCAAAATGTAAGAGGAATTTATGAATCCACGGGTCAGGCATGGCCTAGTGAGGCGGGTAAAAAGAACTGGTAGATTCTACGTATGTAATAACCTTTAGAAAATAAAATTTTAATTATTATATAGTTACACACCTGAGTATGGATCAAGATAACATATTCCTGTCTTTTCTCCACTTTAACTTTTTTTGGTATTCATTCTTTACGACCTTATATCCAATAATTATATTATATCCAATAATATATTTTATATCCAATAAAATATTATATAAGGAAAAGATTTTATTAATCGTTTGATATGAAATTACTAAACTGACTATAAAAAAATTTGCACCTACATGAAGCTATATCGTACGCGAGTGATAGGCTAAAATTTATACAGGCGATGTCATAGAAAAACATATAGTTTCTAATTTATCTTTGTGTAAAACCACAGATATACTACTTTTCGCTACCGTATAAAGCAATCCTCCAGATTTTCGTTAGACGAAGACCTTTTTGCAAACGAATCCTTATACTTTTAATATTTTAATTTGGTATCAATGGTCGTTTTTGCTATTGCAACTTTGGTAATAATATCTGGATTGCAAACGGATTCAGTAGCTATTATTTTAGGAAAACATCTAAAGATCCGATCGCATGGAATCCACCATCTAACGGATTTTGTGTAAAGACGAGTCCGCTGAAAACTCGTAATCCTTTATAAGCTGGATGAATTTATAATGAGAAAGATGTCTTAAGAAAGTGGGTGAATTCCCTTAAGAATTCAAATGCCCAGTTTTGTTAATTATATACATTGTTAGGCTTAACAGTGAAAATGACAGAGACAAAAGTAATAAATGGACTAACAGATCTTCAGTTAGTTCAGATTGTCAGTTAGTCCATTTATTATTTATGCAATATTTTTCCCAAAACAATAATGCATGTATATTGAAGTAGTTTTGATATCCTACTATTAAACAATAAAGTATAACAAAAATAAATAAAAATATTATTTATTAATAAATA